GGTTGTACGGTAGTGAAGCATCAGTGCCAACACTGATGTTGCTGTTTTTGATGATGATGACAAAATTACAGGGCTACCCGTGTGTTTCACTGTAAACTGCTAATGGCTGAAATGGAAGAAAATTCAGTCAACACGTTATGATTGCTGTTGGAAACGAAACTCAAATTTGCCGGAATTTACTGGAACTGACGTAAAATCAGCAGGTGAGAAACAGGACGACTTCCCGGAGGGCTACCGTGATATTGGAAGCTAATTTCGGCCGCTCCTTCACAACTACCTTAAAATTCTTTGGAGTCATTCAAATAGGGTTCCCGGATAACTTTTTCACCAAGGTTCTCCACTCTTGTTGAGTTTCGTGTCCATAGGTTTCTGAACAATTAGTGTGCTAGTACGCCCCGCGGGTTTTCATCAGGACAGATTAGTACTACAGTTTAATTTTGGGAGATGGAAACTGCGGCTTTGTTTTATAGGGACACTGAATCATCCTGTGACAGCTAATGACAAGTTATGAATTACAATCTAAGACGTCCCTGAATATTGCTGACTCCTTTATTCCGCGCACCGACAAGACACCTGGGATCAGCGTTCTTCTACCATATCTGATTTCTTCTTTAATACCCGGCAGACAGTCCAGTGGTTAAGTCCCAAACTTACTGACCGGACGGTCCGTGATTCGAGCCCCTTCTCCTCGGTATCTCAACTGTTCCCGTGTAATTTTGGGCAACCTTGCAGAATTTCAACCCTCGTGCTTCCCTTGGGTGGTATGGCAGCTATGCGCTGAAAGGGTGTTACAGCTGAACTATTATTATTTATTAAACTGGATGCAGCTTAACGCCTTGGCAGTCATCAATTTGATGCTGGATTTTAGTTCAGTCGAATGAAAGCTGCAGTTACCATTCCTGTTTTCATTCTTCAGTGTCCTTTTATAGACTTGTGAACTACCTGATTTCACGAACTTTTACCGACTTCACTGACTTCCTTTGAGCGTTTTATCTCATGGGTTGTCAGTGTACGCTCTAATGACAAAATACTCAGCTTCCAAGTGCTTACTGCTTGGAGTAGCGTTTTCCTCTCTAATCTGCAACCTGGGAAGAAAAATGCTAGTCTAAAATGCTCCCCAAGTATCTTCGCAATAAAAACACAAAAGTTTCATTTAGACTCGTCAGACGTTACAAATACTCGAAGACATTAAAACTGGAAGCTCGAGAGGAAAATGACGCTAACCGTTCCAGTCTAGTCAATTTGACCAGATGTAGCGTAGCTCATTAATGCGGTTAGATATCCAGACAAGCCAGACTTATCCTCAAACAGCCTGATGGGCTGAAGCAGTTTGTGTATATTTTCTTGTTCGAACACACTGCTGTTAAGATCTTTTGACAGCTCACGACTGAATTCACTCCTGGTGCTCATCAGACAGATGCAGTCTCTGGGTCTCCATCAACCCCACGTTTTATTTTCTTCGAGCTGCTTAAACTACTTGATAAAACGCGGTCTCGAATTCAGCTACTTCAACATAAAATTTTTTTTCAGGCATGAGATGTTGAGATAAAAAAGCCATAAGTATACGGTTTGGCGGCGTTATTATTCTGCGTATGCTACAAAACTAATGTTTCTCCTCCTGACGAGAAAGGTGTTATCACTGTAAACGTCACTACATCGGCGATATTTCCTTTGGACCTCCTAACTTAATTAAGTCTGACACAATGGAACACCGACAGAACTGAAAATGAGTTAACTAGTTCCAAAGACCCTTTGCTTCAGCCCATCAAGAGGTGACGAAACTGTTTTGAAGAACCCGACACGCATATAATCCTGTTAGTAAAAGCGAGGTTTTGAACGCTCCTGGGGACATCCCAGTTGATTGCTCCGCTATAGTGACGTTATTAATTGAATGTTACAGGCGTGCAAACTGAGCAGGAAAGGTCGATTTCTCGGCATCACCCTGCGATTCCTTTGTGTAATTGTCCGTTGAAGGTTGTTAGTGTATCTATCAGTAGTCGCAAGATATCGCCAATGATTTACTACTGTGGAGTGGATGGAGTGCGTGTTCCAGTGGCTTTTTTCATCCGAGACGTTTTTCCTGTAGAGCACCTGATCTTTCGTTGGTTTCGGATTTCCGTCATCCAAACGCACTCACAAAGACAATTACTGCTGGCAGGTGAGCACACCCGTCGAACCACCGAAGCATGAGATGCGCCCGAGTGTTCAAACATACAGCTAGGCTTCTCTCACATTCCCACCCATTACAGTGGTTCATACTGGCAGACAGGCGAGCTTCTGCACCGAACGATGGATACGTTCGCATCTGCACACAAACTTAAAACGGCCGGGCTAAGGTGAGTAGGCTGTAGTCAGCTTTCGACGATCCACAAGTTGTCCTTACTTCGGTTTAGTGTCCTTCCTATCTGTCCTTTAAGCCCTAGTCAGGGTTTGTCCCTCTGAAGACACGCACTGTAAGTTATCTAACTGCGACCTTATCGAGTAATCCTTGTTAGAACGGGAACGAAAATTCATGCCTGTAGAAAGACGCGTTTCCTCCACACTGGGCTACTGAGTACTCTAGCTTTCCGTCGTTTTGGTGCACACAAACTGCACAGCTGCTTAGTCACAGTTCTGCCTGTGGAACAACAGCTAGTATCTGTGAATACCATCAGTGAACCGTTTTTCTAACTTCCACCAGCTGTCGATATGGACCGTATACCCAAGAACTAGAAAAAAGATTCGGTAGGTCTTGAGACGAAATACTCAGTTGCACACCTTTACGTGTCGTTTCGTTCATCCTACATTTATTCCAAAATTTGCCAAATTCCCTTCTACTTCCCAATTTTCCTCGACCTCCCGCAACCACTGGAGTTGGACGTTTAGCTGCTTCTATTCTGATACTTTGAACGGTTTTCTTTCTCACTATCATCAATAGTTTTGATGTTGCTGTGGTCTACCCCATTCGATCATTCTCGAGTCCTTTCACCGGAACATGATGAGAAAGAGTGCTGCTTTTTATAGTTGTTGAAACATGTCTGTGGGTGTCATTGCACTCAAGGGGTTTTTTCGACCTTGCATGAAGCAGTTGGTTTGCTACTTCCTTATGGATGCACGTATGTGCTAATTTTTTCTTGTGTTTGTGACAGTTCTTTTTGTTTGGAGTACAAACCAGAGTGAGTACTGTGTGTGGCTTCCAAAAGACATCACCGGTGTTCATTGCTGTTGTTTTTGTGTTTTCAATGGGCTCCTACACGAAATAGAACGCGATGACGTGATTTTACATAACGCTGCACGTGTTTCTTGCTCTACGAAATTAGTATTTTTTTGGGAAACTATTTCTGCCCCTTGTACTAACATCTTCGACTTGACCGCACACAGTCAGTGTGTGGTATCCGAAGTAACTTTTAACCTCATAATACAGGGTAACCAACCATTTTCGTTGGATAACTTTCCGTTTATTAAACTCCTGGGCTTCGGAATAGCGTTCTCTCCCTTGCACTTCAGGTTGTTTCCCTTGTGCACGCTTTAGGCGCCTGAACGGGGTGCGCTCCAACAGAGAACCCGCCGTCTCGGAATGAACCACTTCCGCTTCGGTCCTTCAAACACATCTACTTAGTGAATCTGGACAGTAGCGATTCTCGCAGAACAGACCACTTATGTTCGGCTGCTCTAGATGACCTCTCCACAGAGTTACAACTCTGAGGTGACAGTCTGTGTCTGTTTGGTTGAGTAACAGTGGCGTATCCTTCGGAACACTGAAACACTGACCGGTTGTCCACATTGTTTAAACGGTATGCGTGTACAATAATATGTAAGGAAAAATGTTTGTTGAAAAAGTGACCACGGCCGCGTTCACAAAAACATTCATAAATACTTTAGATCGATTATCTATAAATTAGTCCAGTGGAAATCGACTGTGGTCAGTAAAGAGAGAGATATCTTGAACCCTAGAAAGGCATCGCATCATTGGCTCAATCCGTCGGTCCGTTTATACAGAGAACAGTCGGTAGCTTTACTTTTAAAAATCTAAGACCGACATTAACGAAAACACCTAGTATACTCAAGTGCCGGTCGCTAGCTAAACTAGAGGACCCCCAAAACCACCACCGCCGCCAGCGTCATCATCATCCATATTTCTATCCCCATTGAAGGAACATTCGGGCAATTTTCTCGTGGTTTATCATGGCCAACTTTGGCAGAATATAAGCAAATTATCCGTGCAGTTGGAGAGACGGCTATCCTTATGTTTGTCCAAGGTTTGATAGCGATTCCAACATAACATCCGAGATGGTGACCGAGTTGATTCAGTAATCCTTTAAAACTAACCTGGTTGGTTTTTTACTTCTTATCCGTAGCGTGATTGCCCCACGATGCATCTGGATACAGCAAATTTGTAGCCCAAGACCACCTTACTTGCTTGGGTCGGCGTCATACTAATACGCGGGAGACACTGCCAATAACCTCCCGGTTATCGTTACCAATCATCTTCATATTTCGCCTCGGAAGTGTTCTCAGTTAAGCCTTGGAGTTCAAAGCGTATCTTATTTTTACTGTTTCTCAAATCTTGGGCACTCCGTGAGCACTCTACTCAGAGAATTTAACAACTTAACGGTTTTAGATTTGGTAAAGTAAGTGGGCTTGCATTCATGTGCCAAAATATCTGAACTATGATGCACAAAGTGCCCAAGGTTCTTCAATTCCGCGTTGTAATTTCATCAGGTTTAATCGACTCCAACACTCCCCTTCATTGCACTCAACAAACAGGTGTAGCGAAATGATATCAACACGTTTTCAATCCAATGATGTTTCAGTCAGATGGAACAGTGAATGCAAGAGTTTTCCCCCTATTCTCTAGAGTCAAGTTTGTGTCCGTCCACACCAAACCTTTCCCTATATTCCGCCTCTTCAACTTCAGACTTTCGAGCCCAGTGTCCGATGGCGACGAAGTACATGTATTGTTCGACAAATTCCGTTCTCAGATCAACGACACTCTAAAGAGTTTGGAAGAGAAGTGGCGTATGACTCGTGCAACAGTTAGTAAGTGCATTTTAATCAGCCAAATTTTGTAAGTGTACCTACTTTTTTCTCAATTGAGAGTTGCTCACTGTCTTTCTAGCAAGACAATAAGGTGCCTCACTGTGCACTTCAACGCAGTCGATTTATAAATACGGTAAATTTTCGAATTGATAATAGTTGCTCCCACTATGTTGCTTGAATATCCTTAGTCTTGTTCGACAGTACTGGCCGTTCAACCAAACGACTCAAACTCAGCTGCAAGCTGCATTTTTGTGTCTCATATTTTCTACCTATGTTAAGAACATTTTGTGGACAGATTGTGAAGAAAACAAAGCCTTACTCTGATTGATACTGTATCTTCACAGGTATCGGGCTAAAAGAGTCTGGAAATTGAAAGGATATCGATTCCCTCCTGATGAAAGTCATCCATCACTCTAATGTCTGGTGTGGATGTGTTCCAGTTAGCTGAAAAGCCGTTTTGATGGCAGACCCACAGGCCTAAATTGGACACGTCGGTATGTGTGCAACACGTTCGATGTGTCTCACAAAACGGAACGAAAACGGATGATTTTTGTTCTTCCAGGGTGATACTATTTTGAATAGTCAAAAGGCTTCACGGCACCACCCAACTTTTGCACATTTGTTCACAATATGCGCGACGTGCAATAAAACATTTGGCGTTGAGTTCTTCGCTCACTTGTACTGAATCAATTGTTCAAATCGATACCTGCTTCAATATCACGCTCATTAAGATTGCTTCACTGCATCACAATTGATGTAGCTAAACGTGAAATTCCACCGAGCCCTCTTGGTTGTAGAACAATAGGGAGTTCTGCCGAACCTTATGTGTCGGATGAGGTCCAGGTGGAATTGGTTTCTCACGAATTGTTGGATTTCTGTGGACAGTACACAACATCCCACCATAGATGAAATCGTTTGAAAAGGAATCAGTAAATCGGAGATGTCGTGTAATAAGCGAAACTCTGAAGAATACGGCTACTCTTCTTTGTAAAGCTCATGGTGTGATCCTGTATAAAATTGTGCTAACGGTAGTATAATGCAGATCACATTCACGAGTACGGGGGTTTTAATTACATTCGGATGTCAGCTTTACAATGAAATTTCAACTAAAAGTCCACCGCTCTCCTTTTTATCTAAAGTAATTTGTCACTCCTTCGAAACGAAGCTGATAAGTGCGCTGTTCAACAAGAAAACTGAAGACCGCATTGCTTCTATCAGGGGCGAACATTGTGGAGACAAGACGAAATTACGCGCAGTTCTTTTGGTTCAAAAGTAGACACGCTTCCATATTGTATACGTCCTTCAAAAATACGCTCTTTTACGGGACCAGTACGTATAAAATCGAGGTTTGTGATGGTCTATCATGCGGCTAGACTTTACTACTGATGACATTCAGTATCCGACGATACTGCTTATTTCTAGTTTGGACTAAACCAACTATGTATTGCAGATTAGATTCATTTTTCATTCAACGAATCTCGTAACTGACTCTTGATAGGTCTGCGTGAGTTACGCATGTGCCCATGCTTTCCACAAAAGTCCTCCAACCACTTCCCGAATCAAATTAACTAACGCTATCAAAATGTAAACTTTTAGATATTAACTTCTCAAGGTCATTTGTGGCGCGACAATAATGGATATGAAAATACCTTTTTTCTTAGTGAGTGTAGCCAGGAGAAGATTCTTCAGAGACCTCTGTGAACATTGAATACTGTCTTGACGTGTCAGTCTAGTCAAGAAAAACACGTCTGGTGACTGAAATTTACTCTGTTCCTAAGCAGAGTAGAATGATTGCATGCTCATTTTGATGTTTGAAAGTTATAAACATTGACGTTAGAATGACTGGCATACCTAAGTCAGATGATTTTGAGCCTTTAGCTGTTTACCAACTCGTTTATGGGTTTCAATCGCCTTCCATCTCTCCAATCCCAGCAACCACCGGGCAACAGTCTAACGAACCTCCGATTCTCAGCCCTGTTACTACCGAAAAGCAGATCCAGACTTTACAGGATGATGTCACTGAGCATGGTGTGGGACTAGAAGCGAAGCAGCCTGTAGGTCCAGTTGAACACGAAGAATCCCGTGGGACGGCACCTCCTGTACTTACCGGCTTTCAAGCAGTGATGATGGAGAGTGAAATACATCGACTCGATAGAGAAAATCAACGTCTCAACTTGCTGTTGGCTTTCACTCGTGCTGAGATGGCCCTAGAAATGCGGAATCGCATTACGGAGCTTCGACGCGTATGGAATTTTGAGATTTCGGCTATTTTGGAGGCAGCCAGTAAAATTTGGGAGCAGGATGTAATTCGGATTGTTGATGCAGTGAAACGAAAACAATGGGTGAGTATTCTGTTGCTGAAATAGGCCTTCTTTACAGTACGTGAACTTTTTATGACCAAGAACTGCGGAGGACGGCCTTGGCATTTTTAGTGCCCCGTCCTCTCACTTGAACATGACAGAATAATTAAAATCAAACACTAAGAATCACTCGGAAGAGGAAACCTTTCCGGTAAACTTGATGCATTGTGCGGGTGTCATTCAGGAGTGAAAAACAATAACTTAACCATGTGAGCGGCCATGCCTGTACAGATTTTTCTTCTGCTTGCAGTTCGTGAACTCCTGTCCATCCGTTTATATCCCTAGTGTGCCTACTGCGGTCGCTTGGCCTACTATTACTGCTGTTGGAATACGTGCTATTGCAATAACGTTTGCCAGTCCAAACATTGGGCGTCGCACATCAACGTATGTGTACAAGCACGATCCAAAAACAAGATCCCTCCCAACACCGCAAGTTCACGAGATGTCACTGACCTTCAACAGCTCCAAAGGCAACAGCAACAAAACCCTCTTGTCTCATTAACTCCAACAGCTGCCCAAACTCTACCGTCCTCCAGTCAACAAACACGTTGGCCTAAAGGTGTTGGGCCATGAACCTGTTCCGGTGAGTGTGTGTTATGTTATGAAGGTGTTTCTATATCCCGCAGTCTTTGTACTTCTCCTGTTGTTTGTCGTTACCTGACCTCAGTGACCACACCATTTTTCATCTCTACGGTTGACAACTGGAACACGGAACAACTGCGTGACATGTATGAGATGCTATTGAGCTTTTTCGTTTTTACCATTTCTCCGCTCCAAGTTAACTCAAAACGTTTTTACTTTGAATATGTGTCACCTAACACATTTTGTAAATGTTCGTTTGTTTTTTTCACGGGCACATAAATCAGGAAACCAGTTACTAATTGAATGAGAAGGGCCATGAACCAATTTGGTTCAGTGAATGCTCTGCTCCACAGTTTCTCCATATATTTGACATTACAGTCTTCCTATTCCGCATCATCTTGTTGTTGGAACGCTGATCGAGCAAACCGTTTAATTGATGTTTTACATTATCTCAGAACGTAGCACAATGATTTCTGAGTTCTGTTTGTATGAAATAGAATCGACCCCCAATTCAATGGACCATTGCGCCAAGTTCGATATTTGCATGTCCAAAGTTGGAGGCTGCAGAAAATAGTAGATAAGCCAGCGCGTTTTGCAGCGTTTAACAAATCCCACAATTTCGATAGCTTTCCTTTATCGACTTTACGTCCACAGCTTACCATTTGATCAGTTATTTTGGGATTTGAGATAGACTTGTGGTTGTTGCTGTCATGTTACAGCCGAGGACATTTGTTCGCCTCTTCTTGATAGTTATTTCTACACGACTCAATGTTCTACATCTTTCTGTGGCAGATAATCAACTTTTTTCCAGTTTACCGAGGTTATCGATCTAAATCTTGGAACGTGCAGGGACGGTCACATGACTCTGCGACTTTGCTAGTGCGTGATATGCAAAAGCCTTGTTGATTAGTAAGGTCGATCAATATGGGTTTGTCGTATTATTTAAAAATGTCTATTTGAACTCCATGGTATTTCAAATAGGTTGCTTGAACAGCTGAGTCACGATACCATGGGAAAACTAGGTAGGCACCTGTTTTCTCGACAGCGTCGACCTGTCCAACGCATCGAATGTACTCAGGTTAGATTGATGGTACGAATACACAAAGTCACGTTATCGCTGTCCTAAATCAGCACCGTTGAGACACCTGTGGTAAGCCGAGGAATATGGTTAATGATAGATTAAATCAACCTGGCTAGCCGTCCACTTTCGGTTGAGTCCGATGGCGAATGAATGCATATGAGGATACAATACTGATGCACTGTTGTAATTTTGTGGCAGTTTTACATACTATCAACTGGCCAATCCAGTCACCGAGAATATGCCAAGTTTCGGTATGATCTAGTTTTCTGGACTACGGAGTAGCCAAACTGCAATACAGTTCTCCAAGCGGGGATTCGTTGTACACAAGAACACAGTGAATCTTAGCGTTTTCAGTGGAAATTAATAGTGCCATTCAACCAACTACTTCCACCTGTGTAAGAGCTGCGTTAAAAAATCCCGTGTAACTTCGGTCTTGTGTAAAAAAAACATGGCAAGAATATGTAGTTTGTCTGGCTTCCATCTGAAGAAGAAAACAACGTCAAGCATGTTGAACTGAATGTCTCCATACATGAGCTGCGTAGTTTCCACTGCCTGTAGCTGACAGATTCTTCTCAAACTATTGTATGGACGCTTGGCTTAACTGAGAGGTCTGTGTTAGCTGTACATGCATAAGTCATGCTGACGCGTGGCAGTATTCAGTAAAGGTAATTCGTAAGGTTCATTTGTTCGACCATTTTAGTCGTTGATTTCCTATGAGACAACTGTTTGGGAACGTTTAAAGCCAAAAACAGCGTAGTGGAATAAGATGTTACAATCTGACCTGGTTGCCGTGAGCAACCTTTTTTCAGAAATTTCTACAATCAATTTATTAGAAGAAACTTGAAAAAAAGTTACACACGACAACTGAAACGTTGGATTAGAGCATCTCATTCGACTGCGCTGTGTTTTGACATCAGAAGTTTCTGTATCAGGAGGGTCATATATCTGAAGATTATCCCATAATACCAGAAACCTACTGAGACCCTCAACTCCACTAAACGCTGATTAAACAGCCTTGGATCAAGGTCAGACACTGTCCTCTCAATAAATGGAGCGAAGCAGTTGTTTTTTTAGCACAAAGCTGTCGTCTCCCTTGTCGGCGAGTCCTTTTCAGACACTAGGCCTCGGAGCGGGGACAGTAGTCAGGTGTAACAGTATGGTGCTTAACAGACGAGTTTGGCTTGGAACTGACTGTTCTTCACAACGCTTTCCATGCTAACGGACCTAGTTGTGACAAGCTTTACGAGGACCAATGTGATTGTGCGCTCAATACTGCTTACAATGGTACTCTGGTGGGCGGAGATTATACTTTCTAGTATGTCGCCACGTGTCATACTTCCGCGTCCAGTTCAGTGGACTGAATTCTCACGAAGCTGCTTATATCATAGTTCATTGACGTGCATTTGCTGGATCTATATTTCCTGAACAAGGCCTCCATCTCCGAAGTCAGTGCCAACTCATACCGGAATTACATTGCTGGAAGTCGCCAAAATACTGTGTTCTCGGATTCAGCGTGGTATTCTGAACTTAGTTAGGAGTGACCGCTGGCCCATCTTTGACGTATTTGGACTTCAGCAATGTTGCGGAATGTAGGTAGCTCGGGTGCGCTGCTTGGTGGTTGGTCTGTTCTCCGAGCTCGTCAGTGCATTGACGATGTCACCTCGATTAGTGATGAAACGTTTGCAATCCAACTACCAAGCTCGGTGAGCAGACCAGCAACCAATATTTGGACTTCATTCATGCTACCTCTAGAAGTTAGAATTCTCAAAAGTATCATGTATGCATTTGTGCAGTGGAGTTCTCTGCCACTTGACTGACTGGCGAGTTCTTTTGAAGTTGTTTGTGCAACTACCGAGAAGCGGAAAATTAATTTTTCCCACACCACAACAGCGACAGTGTGCATTCCTTTTCCAGTGTGTTTCTTTTGGTGTTGAACATGCGTTAAAACATGAGCTGAAAAAAAACTATTCGTCCTTTTGTATTTGAATTTCAGCCTCGTTTGTTCCACGTTCTGGATCCCCCATTATTTCCGACTTTATGGATTCCTACGCAGATCTCGCAAACAGCTGTGGTTTGTGCCATGGACAACCCCACCATCTTCCAGCCTCTTCGTTCATATAGATCATATGCGTTATTTTAAGTTTGATGTTCCATTTTATTCAATCTCATATTTTGTATTTCAAATGTCTTTGTGTCATTTTTTGGAGTGAGGGGGGGACATCCTTTGGGAAATTTATGTTTTCCTCATGGGCGTTTTTACTTGGGTCCAGTAGTTACCGCTTTTCCCATCCTCTCCAAGGATTTATACACGGAACGCAGATAGTATTCAGGTGTCATTTGGATGACATATTCTACTGTGATAGACAAACGAATGCCACGTTTTTAAGTAAGTCTGATCATCCACTGCAGCGTGCTTAACTATGCGTTGGAATGAAAAGTTGAGCGATCGGGTTCAGCCTGGAGAACAGTTATCCACAGTTTTTCTTACTTGTGTGTGCCTCAATGTGCTTCGGTAACTGGTGAGCCTAATGTGCTACGTTTTCCATGTATGCTTTCTAGTTCTTGCGAACTGTGTTTCGTTCAGACATTCCCAGCTTGTTTTACTGCAATACGGATGGAATTTTTTCCAGTAGTGATATGTGCACTTGTCTAGCACGGTCTTTTTATCCACCCATTATCCCTAAGTTTCTCACGCTTCATGTCAAAATATCTTCTGTGTGCGAGAAAACTTGGTCCGTTGAGTAAATGCTAACTCACCAAGGTCCGGTATTTACTCTTCTAATGCACTGAACTTGGCAAATCGCCGTTTCCCGTAATCCAAATGTAAAATTACAGTCTAAGTATTTCAGGACATAATGTATGTTTTTTGGCGTATACTCACGTTTAGCCCGAATCTCGAGGCTTTTTCATACTCACTTTTCACTGACTTGTTACCTACGCAGAGGTAGGCGTGGTGTATCGGCACCTGCAATCCGAAGTCGGCCTATTATACCACCCAAAGGTACCGTAGTACACCGAACCCCTCACATAAACCTTGTAGTGGATATTGTGCTGACAGGAGTCACCTCGTGATGGTTAAAATGGATCAAGTTGGGTATGGTATACTTGCCTTACGCCCGATGAAAATCATAGTAAAATGAAGTAGTAGACCTCTATCCTGTTGGCCCAAGATGTCTGTCTCCATGTAAATCGTCGTAGCAAATCACTCACCAATTAGCACCTAATGAACCGAGTTCAGACTTCATGATGGATTATGATTCAACACGGAGACCCAAAGGCGTTAAGGTCGACATCCTAGAGAAGTGGTAGGACTCGTTTTCACTGCGATGTGTACACTTCTTGGGACTAACAATGGTAAAGTGGAGGAATCACTTAGATTTTTATCTACTTTGGTCAAACTGACTTATTCACATTTGGGAATGTTCTATCCCTAGGAGTTCGATCTCAACGCTGGTTTGTTTAATTGGTCTGCTTAAATCTGGCAGTCTCACGAAGTTTGGATAGCTATAAGACAGCGAATAAGATTAGATGATCGATGAAATCTAAATCTTCCTCAGCCCACAAATTCCAAAAATTTTCAAGTATGGACAGTCGTTGACCGTGCACCAATTAATCCAGTGGCACAACCCACCGCTACGCACAACTACGCACTGATGATGTCACCTCGATTGGTGATGAAACGTTTGCAACGTTTGCTCAGTGAACAAGCCGGTGACCAAAGGTGCGTAGATTCTGGCTTAGATGATCATATCGGACCGAACGAACGACGGTTTGTGCAGTCATGAAATGGGATGGCATTGATCGGAATCAGAATGGATTTGTACACTCCGCGTGCATCATCACAAGTTATTCCTGGTGCTTTTCTGTATGAATATAGTCACCCGACTGGATTGTATGCGGACTTTTGGCAGAATTCATCAATCCGTAGGCGCACAGCTGGCCCTAGTGGACGCGAACGGATCGGAGTCAGGTGTGAACAGTGTCACGTGTGCTACCTCCAGCCAATGACAGAAAAGCACTGAGCTGTTTGTCTAACGCCATCAACTGAATTTATGGAAATGCTTTCTCCGCCGCGCATTCACGACTGGCTGCGCTTGCGTGGGCATTGTGGCACGTTATCTCGATGACCTCAGAAACGTTGGCTACGGACGCATTAGTAAGTCTTGTCACCTGTTACCATGACAAACAGGGTAATAGAAAGAACGCGCACTTAAATCCATAGAAGATTCCGCTATTTGTATTAAATTGCAGGCGTGTATTTTTTGGCAATCCTGATAGGTAAGTAAACCGAGCATCATAGTCCACTGGATGTGGGAAGCCCGTGTGAGATGTGTCAATGTCTTCAAAAATCCTTGGACGAAACAAGTTGAGGAGACGGTCCAAAAGCGGTTTCTTCATCAATGTTGATAATATGCAGGATATTTGAAACTGAATTCGATAAAACAAATGAATGGGCGCATTTTTAAAAAGCTACGATTCTTGTGGTCCGTGTATCTTGCATCCAACTAGGTCAACGCACATTCTGCGAAGAACGCGATTAACTCAGACTGGTCACTTCAGAGTAGTTTTACAGGAATAATATCAAAAGGGAAACATCCCCGACAGAAAGATAAATAGTTCCAGAACCTTTACTTCTCCCTAATAAAAAAACCGGATAGCATGCTTGTCGACACGGCGCTTCCGACGTCCCCATTCTATGGACAGAAATAATGGTTTTACTACTCCATTGAACTTGATGGACAGATCTAATGATTAGATGCTTTGGGCTATTCGGACTCGCGTGTACGTAACAGAGTGAAATTCGAGAAGACTAGAAACGCCAAGTGACTTTTCCCACTTATTTCTGAAAAGCCTCCAATAGCAAGATTTTTATGTCGCGACTGGTAGTTGGATGTAGGCTCATCCGCGTCATTGGTCATCGAAAGACTACACGGAGCGTGATTCAGGCTGCGTTGATGTATGGATCCGTTGTGGTCATAGTGGGCTCCGTGGACTTAATACAAACACAATTATTTTAGCCCCGGCGAAAAGTCCGTCCCAAATACACGAAGGATGGGTGGGAACGTAATTGCCAAAACGATTCCTTTTCAACTAGAAATCTACACACTTGAGAACGAAGATCTCCGTCTATGATGTAGAGGATAGTCAGGAAGTATTCTGGTCATTTATGCACAGAATGCCATTCACAGATATGAAGTTTCTGCACAACTGTCCTTAAACAGAGACAGTGCTTTTGAAGCATAGCCCATATCTCAGTGACCATAAACGCAGTATTTACTGTAAATTCATCTTGGTAATGTGTGTTGTCATTGGTTCATTTCGCAAGTTTGGTCTGGATCAGAGTGATGGTCACCTGATCATGAACGAGAAACTGCGCTGACCATATCACATTCGGCTACTAAACAGCGATAGCAGTAGTCAGCGGAGCCGGTGGTCTTTCCAAAGCATAAAAAACCTGGTGAATTTCGGTCATAAATTATGGGCTTAAAACCGCTTTCAACTAGGCTCAGGACAAAGATTTCTTTGATTCTTCGTGGAAGAGCTTGAAATTTCCTACTGAATTATGCACAAATACTTTATATTTCATACCCCCTGCCCTCTGTTTTTTTGCCATAATTGGTTGCGGTCGTAAGTGAACTCAGTTAGATTGAACAGTTTAATTATGGGCTTAAAACCGCTTTCAACTAGGCTCAGGACAAAGATTTCTTTGATTCTTCGTGGAAGAGCTTGAAATTTCCTACTGAATTATGCACAAATACTTTATATTTCATACCCCCTACCCTCTGTTTTTTTGCCATAATTGGTTGCGGTCGTAAGTGAACTCAGTTAGATGTGAACAGTTTCCATTTTTTTATCTAGTGGTGAGAAGACTATTTATTCTACTATGTTCCATAACTACTTCTTCAATGAATTCGCACCAATTGATCCTTGAAATGGCGTTCCGTTTTCTTCAATATGCGAACAAATTATGTCATCAGAGCTTGACTGTTCAATAACTTGTCAGTACCATTGCTGAGGCATTATCCCAGCTCCAGACACAGAGGAATTTTTCGCCTTGCTTAGGGCGACGATGTAAAAGGTCTGCTCCAATAAAATATCTACCCACTTCAAGGCGATGGCTAGTACAGCACTTTCTCTCACATAGAGAACACCTTGGGACAGAATACTACCGTTACTATTGTTTTGTTTTCAGCCTCATTGCAAATCCATGAGAATTCAAATATCTGACCACATAAGCCGATCAATATATTTTCTGCTCACTAACCAAGATTCAGTTTGTAAGGAAGTGATGTTTTTCATCGGTTGCTTGGATACAGAGCAACGCCAATCTGCTATATCTTATTTGCCACTTGAAGTTACCGTTTTACAAGTATCCAATAAATGTTTAAGTGCTCAACACGTAAACATCGAAAGAAAGGCAGTTTCGGGTGACGGTGAAAAAGCATGTCCAGGGTATACTGATAAACACCAACCACGATAGCGAGTGGGGATTTAACTCTTGCCTTGTTCCCATGAACCATTTGTGATGAAACACACCATAGTTAATACCTTCCACTGCTTTCGCCAGGTGAACTTCGCAATTTCTCGGACGATCCAGTATAGAATTCTCTCCCCTACTTCCTCTATCCGATACCTGTGGAAGCGGCATTATTAATTAATGAAAACGTTTCACCTACCTTGATTATTTCCTCTATATTTCCAGTGACGTTTTCTAACTAGATGAAGCTAGGTTAACATAAAAGCTGTGTCCCAGTTTTGTATTTTACGTGGGTGGGTGCATCGGTCCTATAACCCTAGGCACGCGCAATAGCTCTTTCACTGACCAAGCAGCACAGATCAACGATTGCTGGGAACTATTCGGCAGCTCAAAACCGTTTTCGTCCTCCTTAAGGCTGCCAGGAAGACGCAGTCCTCTCCCAATTTTCTCTTCTCCTTGTACATTTGCACACCAGTTCGGTTTCAAAGTTAGACTCGAGTGAACTCCAGCTGAGTTCTTCGTTTCGGATATTCTTCATATGATGCAGTAGTGCGAACAGAATGTCTCATCAGGCACACTTAATTGATTAGTTTTTAGCTGAGTCTCATGTCAAAACTAAATTAGTTTGCACATAGATGTTTTTCTCATACTTTTGGCGATCGGGAACTGATTGACTACGTACTGGCCTATTCTTGTAGAAAGTCGATTTTTTGTTGTTCGTCTCATGAGAAATATTGGGAATTCACCAAGAGCAATTTGTGTAGAAACTCGTCCACTTTTTCCCACATTTCTTTTGAATTGTTCACTCATGTGCCATCTCATTGGACAGTCTTTTAAACACTCTCTTCTGCTTCATTCATTCGGTTAGAATACGGCTCCACTTTATGGTTTGAGTTTGATGATAATCCTATAAAAACCTATTTACGAGCTGGTAACAGCCACCTATGGTCAGAATCTTGATATCTATGTTGTATCTTACTCACCATCTCTCATAACAAGGGCAGTTTTCAGTCGGTTGAGATGAACCAATATATCGTCAAATTCTGGTTACAAAACCTGAGTCTTGACAGCCTGATGAGCCCAAAAAACGGGCGAAACCGGTCGTAGGCTGTCAAAGAGTTTTCAGCAACCTTGTGTGAAAATATACTGCGGCATCTCTAATATCGTGCCCACTGAAACATGAGGCAGCCTTTGTGCAGCACATGCAGCTGAAGAATACCATAAACGAGAGATTCAGTTGAGTCTCTTGTGAAAGCTAAAGTAATATGCAAATGAGTAAGTCTTGGCTACTTTCAACAAAACTTGTCATTTATTTTCCACGGCTAGCCAGCTATGTTTGCAGCTGTTCCTTAAAGTTGCTGAAAATTGCTAGAGGGCCACTGACGGATTCGTCCTTGGAGCGCACCAGATGGGCGGAGTCTCCACATTTCCATTCAGTCAACTTTATGTTCTACTTGAACACGTCAATTTACGCAGCTGGAGAAGTACAGTCATTCGCTAACTAATCTGGTGTTAACAACAGTCTGAAAGCGAGTAACTAACTGTTATACATTCTGCACGGCTCTTTCAAGCTAGATGAACAGAAGATTTTGCCGTCAGAAGTAACCTCAGTGAACCGTATTTATACTCCTTTTTTCGGCGAGCTTTTGCGCTGTTGCGCATGTGGGGTTCATGCGTGTGATTTTGTACATACCGAAGCGTCATGGCGTATTCTTGCTTGTTCGCATGCTGTGACAGATATCTAAACTGAACTACACTCTGCAAACAGAAGTGACCACTTGATTGTCCTATTGTTAATCCGGTTGTCCAAATTTGCCAAGCATTCTGCTCATATTTTCCGTTTATCTTCTGATGACAGCTGGTACCAGCTGAAAATCCTGAAGCCCAGAAAGCTCAAGAACACTCTATTCTTTCCACAGCCCAAATTAAAAGTAGGTGATAATTTTGTTTGTAATGTTTTGACATGGATGTCAGTGACTGACCATCGTGCACGTTAAAAGTTGTTTACAAAAATTATACTCATTGTGATTTCCCTTCCACTGCTGTTAGTATTGCTTCACATTTTCATATCTGTTGTGGGGGTTGCGGGGTTATGTATGGTTCTTACTCACATCACTCTCGTTTGAACAGTCGTTCTTCTGTCCTGGTGTAGCGGTTACACGCTCGCCTTGCGTGTCAGGTATCCGGATTTTAAACCCTGATACGGCCCAGGGTTGATGATGATACTGATGAGCTCTAATACGAACGAAACTCGAGTCTAATGCTTCCCCTCTTTGGTGTGGACTCACCAAAATAATTACGCCAGGCATGAGGATGACTATGCAAACGGAAGTGATGTGAGTATGAAGCTTCTTCACACATTCGAAAGTAATTCCAACCAAGAGTATTCGGTTCCACTCCGGTGTCAACCAGTCCGTAGTTGTTGCACCTTCCTGGCATTCTCAAACTATTCTGGATCGTTTGCATGTAAACTGTGGGTACGTTTATATGGCTCGTTTCCTTCCAGGCTAAAGCACACCTGAACTAGTCAAATGTATTCCTTTTCCAGATTATTACACCTATCCGTAGGGTATCATGACACCTGACCTTTAGACTGAGCGTCGGTGGACTGAGCGTCGGTGACTACCAGTGTAGCGGTGATACTACTGATGTGGAGGCACGCGAGTAGTATGTGTTGTTCGTAGAATTTCGCTTTGCGTCTTTTGAAAAGGGGAGATCTGTTGCGTAATTTGTGGAGTCGCTTTGTAACATTTGCTTGGATTTGACCGACGAATGAGTGGAGTCAATGAATCTCCAGGAAAGTTCAAAAAGGCTCTTTCGGGAGAAGATCGGTGTCCAGTTTTGTAACTAAGATGCAGATTAGAGTTTCGCTTTCCTGTTCAATGGTCTGTAACCGGTCAGTTGGCATTTCCTAATAAATAACTCCGTAGCGAAGGCCTTCTTCCTTTCGCCAGTACGGTTATCGCCTGAAAAGGATATGACACCAAGCCTTCTTCACAGTTCAGATAGGCAAAATTACGATATTTTACAGGCAGTGAAAAAACGCTTATTTTTTCGCTCGGCTGGTCAATTAGGCCCCGAGTTTTCCATCGCCAGTCTGACTAACAGGACTGGTTAGTACATTGAACGGTATTCAAAGTTCTGAAGACTAATCCATACATGAGAGCAGTTAGTGTTGTCACTGAGACCAGTAAAGCCTATCGAGGCAACAAATTGTACTTCATACCTTTCACATATTCTGGAACTTCAGTAAAGCTGTGAATATTTCTAGGGATGAAATGCTCAGAGTATGTATTGAAAAGATGTCCTCAGTGGGACGGTAAACGCAATTAGCCGTACAAATTTGTTGCGTTTCGATGTTAGTTGCTTCAAAGCATACACTTGCAAATTTTGCGGTATTTTTCACAGTACCATTGCCTAGTGGCCAAAAATAGTTAATTTTTAGCTATTATTAACGTAATAGCAGAAAGACCTGGTGGTTGTTACAAGGTCCATCAGTTCTTTCTGGTTTAAGATAATACTAAAAGCATTGTCAGTTTCATTGCTACTGTCTGGTAGTTTCTGGGCACTTCCAGGTAGCTTGGGCGAATCAATAACTTGATGTTATTAATTTTCGGCTTACAACCACCCCGTTTCCTAACATTTTCTGTTTTAACGCAGTTGTAAGTCTTCTAGAACAGTGACGTCTGTAGTCCACCATTTCGGAACAAACTTTAGTGATAGGTGGTGAGCAGCACTTTTAAGTCTGCGGGATGGTCACATCTGCACCACGTGAAAAAGTCTGAGTACTCCCGGGCCACGTGACAGTTTCAAAAGCGAGGTGCTTGAACGACTAGTTTGTTCACCCGTGTATGTCTCCTACTTGTCTACTATGGAAAACAACGAAGTAATCAACTTCTACTGTTATTGCAGTTGCACAAAGTGAACGTAAATGAAAGTATGATTCAGTCGGTTTTTCCTGCAGCGTGTGTTTGACACGTCACACATTAACACATGTATAGTTATTCTTCATATTCAGAGAGTCAGACATCTAGAGGTCGTTTTGTCCGGGATATGGTTTGAACCGCAGGATTATGTCAGTTACTTTACAGCGTCGTTAAAGCGCACATTCTTGTGATAAGTCCTGTGGAATCAGATGAATACAGTTCAAAATTGACCCAAGCGATCCCACTCATGTTCCTCTCCGAAAAACACCTTCACCATTCCACCAACAATAGTTTCAGTGATTCCGATAGACACCTCCTATAATATCGTCTTGAGAACCAGTTAATTCACGAGGTAATTCATAATGTAAACAGTTGATAAGTGCATTGTCTTCACAAAAGAGGAAATGTTTAGTTCGGTCCACAATAGTTTTTTCCAGATTACTAGGAGTTCCCTCGGACGAAGGGTCGTCACTCAGAATAGGCCTCTACACCCGTAGTAGAGGTCTCTGTGGTACGTACCATGTTTCTGAAAATTCTACTGTAAAGAAAACTATCTTTAAACAAGACGCTTCCTCCACCTCCTTCGGCCTGATACTCTACCCTTGAAACCGGTAAAACTTCGAAGTGTACCAGGCGTAATTCTGAATATCAGTGCTTTTAGGAACTCCAGCTGCTGAATTAGACATTCTACATCGTTGTTGATCTCAGACGTTGGAGCGCACAAAACCGAACCGACTCATCTGTGAATTTTTCGTGATTGCCCGAGCAGTATCTCAGCCACAGCACATCATTTGGATTTTGTAGATGTCGTGCACAAGACGGCCGCCTTGGACATTCTCCCGCTGTGTTTAAATATTCTGATGACTTGGGCTGCTTTTCCGTGTAAATACTGATGCTTATGGATGTGGCGTGCAAAATGTCCAAGATGTCTACATTGTGCTTTTTCAGGCAGCACAGCTTTCCCCCGAGGCTTTTTTCTTCGCTCTTCCTTTACCTGCTGATGCAGACCGTGCAACCTTTAAAGTAAGAATATTGTCCAGAATCTTGACCATATTCTCCCCCTAACCAAAGGCACTTTCACATTCCATCTAAAGCCCATTCACTCCCAAACCAGCTTCATATTCCGCAACTCATTTGCAAGGGCATTTTGCATCATCATCATTATCATCATCATATAATGTGCTTTATTCTAGAGTTGTACGATTCCAACGTCACGCCCGGAACTAGAAGGGTTCCACTCAAACGGGTTTGTAGGATACTGCGGCTCCTGGGACAAGCTCCGAGCGAAAAGGATATTAAAGACATCTGTGATACATATTCTTCAGAAGGTTTGTCCCAAAAAGGTGCGTCTTTACCAGTGGTATTTTTCCTAACGCAATCAAAAAGTTCCACTTAGTCAGATTCCATCTGAGATGACATACTTCTAGAAGATCCTACACTTTTTCAAGAGCAGGTTACAGCAGCACTTTGGTCTATCACACTACAGCCAAACCTGATGACCATGTTGAGCAATTGATGTAAATAGTAATCGACAATGATAGTAACAGTAAATAAACTTCTGGAAATCCGGGAATCGATATCGATAATTCTCCCTTAGAAAAAGCATGTTTGAGCACGATTTGCAACTTTTTTTAGCCGTGCAGCTTTCTGTATTTGGCACTGGTCCTTCACAGTTGTTCAACCAAACCACACTGTCTTTACCTATGTAACTCTTGGCCGGCTTTGATTCCTTTCGCCAAATTAATTCAAATCCCGGCAGATTCGGAATTCATCGGGATGAAGTCAAAGTAATAATCCCTTTTCGTGAGGGAACCGTGGAACTGGAAGTTGATGTAAAGTAACGTCGGACCAATGTGTGTAAAACCAAAACACCAAGTATTCACCAAATCCAATAATTTGGGCATGTGTGTTCACAACTGAGAACTGGGTCGAAGGAAAATTTTGCGTCATTGTCCGCGATACGGAACCATGTGTCACGCAACCTATCTTGCCATATTCGACTGTAAGGTCGCAAATAAAAAACGTCGCCGTTTATTCGCCTTCTGGTGAAAATTATTCATTTAAAATGGTGGGTGCTATCCTATCATAATTACTCCCTCTGATAAAACACAAAGTTTAGTCACCCTAATTTTCTAAAATGATTTTCGTGCCAACCGCTGCTGTTCTTGCACAACTGGCCATAATTTCATGGAAGTCCCAGATTGAAGAAGGTTTTCGGAAACACTTTAGTGCAACGGTTCTCTTAATGGACACTTCCGGTAATAGGCCGCTACCTTGGAGAGCCCATGACAGTCTTTTTCATCAGCCACGGCTCGGTATTATATCTTCCTCCCACCCCGGAAGAGATTAATTATATTTTCGTCCCATCATTGTAATTCCCGTTCGATTTGAAGCGTGTTCTCAATTGGTCTCGTTAAGATGGCGATCAGTATGGGTCTGCTTCGTTATGCCGATGCTTGAAAACCTGGGACTTTGACAGATATCACACAACACGGATGCATTCTGTAGCATGTGCTTTGCCAGATATCGCTGTATGTCGCGAATTTTTTAGTACCGTGACGATTATTCGTTCGTGTTTGTCGTTCAGGCTTCTACAAATAATGCAGTTCAGCCTTGTCCTTCACACACAGACAACAGAGATTATCCCTGATTGCCTCTCTAAACTAATAGTTATTCCGACTATATCGCGCTAAAAAACTGTTAAATCATTAGGCTATTACTCAGAATAAATGACCACATTTCCTGCGAGAAAGTTTTGGGTCGCAGTTCCAAAGCAGGCCTCTTTTCCAAAAATAGCCGTTTGACCAACTGGTACCCTATACACTCCAAACTTCGGCGAGTACAGTAGTGAACAGCGCTTGTGTAGGAGTAAGTCGGTCCTGCTCCGTAACCACTCTGGCCTGTGTAGCACAGTTGTGTTTGAAAAAACTCTAGTGATGACTTCTCCCATGCTACTGGAAGTCAATGATCCTCCAAGAGCGAACGCCGTCGGATCTGGCCTGAAAAGTACGTTTAGAAGCATCAGGTTATAAGTGAAGTGTCACAGCTAGCCGAAAATGGATTTTTCAGACGAATGTTTATGATTAATACTTCCGAAGTGAACGTGAAACAATATTTTGATAAAAGACCTCATTCTCACAATTTTCATTCCAGCTACACCGTCAGTGAACTTTGAGGAATTTTGTGAAATTATCGGAAGGCACGTACTCTCTCGGGATGAATTATACGCAAAGCTGTATGCTGCCTTTAAAGTGAGCGGACCAACAGGCTTAGTAGAAGATGCTTCATTTCCTAGCTAACTGAAGAGGTGTGCCCATCGAATTCTCTTGTGGGACTCTTCCTTTCGGGCGTCCTTTAGCTGGTTAAACAGGCAGCCTTGTTTTTAGGTCGTTTACGAAGTATCACTTGTGAGAATATCTGAGCCTCTTTTCACACTCTTAAATAGCTACGCTAGTACTAACTCAATATTTTTTCTGGCATCCAGTACTATTCCGAAAAAATGGGTACACGGAATGAGAAAAGATGAATATTTATCTAAGGGTTTCGCTTGGTTGCTCTGCACTTATGCTTTGTACTAGATATATTCATGAACTTGCATATAGTAGGATTCTTCGCTTCAAACTGCTTGATTTAGTTTCAAAGTACAGAGCTTACTCCTTACACCAACCTTTTATAGCGGCTGCCCCATAACAGCAAGCTTTGCAAATTCAAGGGACGCTGTCTCGCTCGTGATGAACCTTCCTCCAAATCTATGGGGCTACCCTCCACACAGTTTGAAAATGCTATCTATATTCTGTAAGAAGACCACGACCGTTTCATGATCTCATTGGTTCGCTGAGTTATTTTTCGTTTGTCGCGCCGGTTTGCAAAATAACACACTGTACAAACGACGGGCTGAAAACACCTTTGAAATGTGCCTCCGCATGTAATGGCCTGCTCTGCAGCTGTGAGTATTGAAGCAGACTGGTATAATCTGTCGTTTTGTGCAAAGTGAATGCGTGCACATCTGAAGCCAAACACTACACTGGTCGGAGCCATTTTTATGCGGTAGCGAAATACTACTCGATCCTTGGTTCGTATATTCCTAGACCAACCACTCTCCTTGTAAAACTTTAAAAAACTGGCAAGATAAAAAAGTTCTAAAGCTCCCTATCCTGCTTCACTGACTAGTTTTGTGACAATTAGTCCCTCATACAGTGTACACTTTCGTGATTCATTCACTAGAGTGGCACGCGTTTCAGTTTGGAGCGTACAGTAGAACCGAAACACGCACACAGAAAACATCTTCCACAGCTATAGACGTTTCAACGTCTACTTGGCTTCATGGAATACCGGGTTCGTTATGGACCACGAGAAAGGGTTATATTGCTAATTTCGAGGCAAAAGTGATTCGTCTGGAACTACAATCCACGAGGCGTTTCGTCCCGATTTGAGCTGATCAGCTAGAGATAACAGGATTAGCGTCTGACTTTCTTGCTGCAAGTTTTCGCTTTTAACTCCAACCTTGAGTGGTCACCAACTTCACTCGAGCTGATGGCGTGTACGGCCTCAAATGACTTTTGCTCAGCTCAGCAGATATGTCTATATGTTATTGGAGTCTGACTACTAGGAGTTTTGAAATTCTGGGTGATCTGAGCCCCAATACGTACGATTTTCACAAGTTATGAAGTATATCTGGCGAGGTAAATGACCATTTGGTGTTGGGCCCTTCGCACTTCGAGCTTCACACAGTTTTTTGTAATCATTATGTTTAGATTCTGCCGTCTATGAAGCAATAATCAGGTAAGCCGGCTCTAGAACCTGTCAGCTGGTGCAGACAGACGCTTCCTCGTTGATTTTGGGCTACCACAGACCCAGGTTGGAATTTCCGTACAAGGGCTGTTTGGTAACAAAAACCGGAGTGTTGATGAATGAAGGCTAGTTCAACGTTAATACCCACAGACCCGAAACCTGATAAAACCATTGCTACTTCGTATTCGTTATCAACCTTTTAAAATCGCGTAGTAACCCTCAAACTGACGTCGAAATGGACATGTGGACAGTGCTTTCTGGAATAGTGCAGCCTTTAACCTGATCTTCCTCCACAGGACTTTGCTTTGGGTCCGCATCTGATGTTTCATCCACTTGCACACAGTGTTAGCTGAGGTAGTTCTGGGGATGCATATTCGGGAGTCGGGGCACCTGTTACCGATGGTGATCTTTTGTCCCAGGTTGTTGTTGTAGCTCTTGACACATTGTCTTCCTAACCGCAGTATAATCATTTCAGTCAACTGCTCGAAACTGACGTGACGATGTGACACCAAATAGGTTACAGTTAGGTGAGAGAGGCCGCACACGAAAATCAAAGCGTGGAATCACAATAATACAACTGGAAAAAGTGCATTTCCTAGGCTTTTCCTCGCTTTGTTCGTTGACCAACCGCCAGCTTTCTCCACTCATCATACTATAGTTGTTCAATGATTTTTCCTCAGGTATTTGATCCACTAGACATTGGGGTAATTGATGCCACGAAGCTGCGGGAAACGCTGCTCACGGTGGGAGAGTGCTTCACAGAGAAGGAAGCCAGGGAATTCATCAAACAAGCGAACCCAACGATTGAGGGTAAATTGCCTTATGAACGTGAGTTGATCCGTCACTTAAAACATGAGTGACAGTTTTCACCAGAAATATTGATAAACGCAGATAATGTTACTTGTCACATATTCAACTGGAAGTGCCTTTCGACTGAAAGAACATCTGCAATCGTCGGCCCAACACAGATAGCATAGTCTGACCGATATAGACTGCAGTGTTAGCCGTTTGGTTCACTAATCCTGGATTGAGTTCTACTGTCAAATCTCGGCGTCCTTAAGCCTTGTTCAAGACAGTGAATGCAATGGACCAAGTATGGTATTAACGTTAACCAGACGACTGCGTCGTTTATAACTGTTCAAGGGCATTCAATGACAGGCAGACGTGGCTGGACGTATTCACACTGTATACCATAACTCTTCAGTCATTTGGCTGCTATTGGTGTGAATCGTCTACGTCATTTAAACAAAAAACCCATAGGAGTAGTAGAGTTGTATCAAGGTTAATTGCCTGTCACTGGGAGACCAGCAATGTACCGTATGGGCGAATACCGGAGACGCGATGACGTTTGAGGGAAATTCTTCTCAGATTCATAAACCCCGTTTCCCAAATATTTGCAACAGGACAGTGGGATGGCGAATGTTCGTTTCATCCGGACCTCTTCTCGCAACACAGTGGCGCAATCGATATGATCCAGTCATCACTTCGATGGCTGCACGGTGTGTAGTCTTTGAGTAGTAGCTTGCGTAGAGGAAGAAGGGCTAAAACTGAAAAATGCGATGACTGGGATGACCTCCACGCCACTTTAGTAATACAGTATTGTATGCTAGCGTGTACCGGTAAACCGTCCCATGTATGACACCACGATGCTCTTTTTCGCATCAGAAAATGAAACACCACCAACTAAGCTTGAAATAAGGCAACATAGCGCTATGCATGACATAGAGTTGCTCAGCGACATCCTGCCATGGTCACTACCTTTCTCCTCAGAAAGTATGCTGCTCTTTCAAGCTGAACTAGACACACATGGCAAAGGACTTTGGCACATTTGCCGTATGTAATAAGCCCATGCTTGTGGGCCATCTGCTGCTGTCTAATTTCTCCTCACAGAGCCGTGTAGTTCAGCTACTTTAAACTAACACTATAAACATCAAGACTCTTGTCATTCTCAAATATCTCTTGCGGTTGACTGGCCTTGTCATGTACTGACACTACCTACTGTTTGAGAATACCATCTTGGATTCAAACAAAAATTTCACGATCGGAACAAGTTTAAAGAGCAGACACAAGATGACAAAAGCTTTCAGTCATACCGGTAGGGCTCCGGAGGCGCACGAAGGTCTTCGGATACTTGTGGGACAGTGCACCGCAGGAATTCATTTGAAAACGGAAAATGTCATGGCAAACGGTCACTGAAAATGTCGCCCCAGATGATATCTGAGGCACTGTCGGTACTGCGCGGCAGACCAGTATTAAACTTTTGGTACGCTGGTAAAATATTCCACTCTGACCGGTTTCAGGGATGCTGAACAGCTACGCGTCCAACCACCGCAAGGAATAAAATGTAAGGCAAGGTTGGGGTACCATATCATAAGATGGTTTACGTGTGGATCATGAGCGGTGTAAAGTTTTTGGACGATCAACTTGTTGACTGTTTGATGAGCTAACTAGTGACCAAAGAAATTAAGCCTATTTTTACACACATTATTTGTGATTTCTTCAAGACTGTTTAATACCACAGATCGATGCGTGACCTCCCGCAGAACAAGAAGATTGATGTGATTCCAACATGATGGTGCTTCTCCGAAGAATGTACTTTAATTTTGCGGTTTCATTGACCGGCACTTCTCCATGGATTGTGTCAGTCGAGGCGACGTACGAAGGCAAGCACGGAAATTTTTTCCTCGGGGGATCAATGAAAGTCCCGGGGTACAATATTCGGGAAACTGCAATCATCGTTGCTAGGAGAGCAGTGTCATTTTCATCCACAGGGCATAAAATTGGCAAACAATTCATCATCACAATACTGGATGTGATACAATGGATGAGGAACTATGGATATTCCTTGTCATAGCAAGGTTGGATCATGCCCCAAAAAGACCATTTTCAAAAGATACTGAAACAGGCCTTTTTGAGGATAAGTGTAATACGAAAGTCCATCATAGGCTTTTCAAGCTGTTCTGACTGGCTTACTCAAATTCCAGTACAAAAGCATACATGAGCAGTATACTGAAATACACTTTGTTCGTTTCGATTTGCTACAAACATCCACTATCACGCTTCGTATGCATAAGTTAGTTCACGAGTCGTGAGATTTTGCCTATAATGTTACCTACCTTAGAATACTCAAGCTTGTTCTAACTGCTTGTATTTGCCACCAGACACTACCTACCACTGTAAGTCACATTTCAAGATGGAGCATGTCCGTACTGTTGCAATTTATTCTGTCTCTACTGTGTACGTCGAATGAGTTCATTCCTACAATGACAAAGTTTTCAACTTTTGCAGCACTCGTGCGCCAACTGGTAGACGCATATCCCCCACCTAAACCAAAGCAATCCGGTACCAAATCCAAAGGAAAACCGGTGAAAAAGATACCGAACTGAGTAGTGTATCTACGAGTTTATGAGAACCGCTCTTGTTCTCACGCTGTCTTCAGTCCACAGTTGTTACGAACTGTCAGAGTGAAGGATAAACTCTTCTCTGCTAATTGTTGAAGCTGTACAGAAGCAGGATTTCTGTAAATCGAATTAATAAACTGATTTTATCGACTCCTCGTTTTTCTCGATCAAAAACAGAACATGGGACCAAAGTGAGCTGTTTTTCCGTTACACTTCTGGTGTGGCGCTTTTCGTGACCACTATATTAATGCAATATGTGAAATGTTATTCCACTTGATTGAATGCAGTTCCACCGAATGTTCCTTGTTCCGATTTTTTTTTCGACAGTTTCTGCCCACTAGGTCCCAGTAAACTGTGTCCCAGGTTGTACAAAAATTCCAACGCTGCTTGCTGGAAAACCCAATATTCAAAACAGTTCGTGTCATATTCCGCGGAATCCACCCACCCGAAAAAGTTACCAAATGTAGTCATCAGTTTTCCAAGGATTTCTCACCTCAGTCGGCACTCGGTAGTAGGACGTAACATGAAATAAGAGCTATCATCCGTCGTTTTAAATTCACGTAAGTTTCGGATATCATTCCTCATAAGGGGAACGCTCCACGACTTCTTTTGGGTGGTGAAATGACTTTGATTTGTTCTATTTGTGAGTGTGAGCCTATTCGCCTAGCATGTAAGCCAAGATTTTACGCTGTGGCAATTGTCACATGTGATGTGTTTACTTTATCTTTCTATCCGGGAGACTTCTCCATGTTACCGCGTTTGTGAGAGCGACATCACAACCGCGTTCACAGGGAGCACCGAGACAAAACATGATTTGTGGATTCACCGTGACGAAACAACTAGTGACTGTTTGCAGACACAAGTGACCAACTTCTTGTAATATCGCATTCCTTTAGTCTTCCCATGCTGTATCTATTATTACTTAGAATGCTTCATAGCTCGAAGACTCCTTAAATTTTCGCCGAAAAATTTGGGTTTTGAACTCCCAACCCGTTTTTAAAAGTAGCAGTTGAACATAGGGATCAATAGCCGCACTAAGTAATGAAATCCGGGCATTTTCGATCGGTTTTTGGGGTTTAACATGAATGGAATGTGTATCTCAGCATTTTCTGGCATGGCTACTTAAACATTTTGTGGAAACAAAACAACAATACCAAAAATAATCATGCTGTCCGGAGCACTCGAAGATTCTCTACAGAATTCGATGTCTTTCACAGTGTTCCAAGTCAGTTTGTTTCGAGATGAGAAAACAAACACCACAATTTGGATTTTGTCTGTACAGGCATGCACATCTTCAGCACAGCGTTCTATGCTCTGTTGAAATCTATATTTGAAGTTTGGGCCTAAATACCACTTGGTTGATCCTTTTCCCGAACAAGTGTACAGTGATAGTTATGTTACTTCGCGCATATGAAAGATGTGACATTGAGAACTGACTTTGGATAATTGGTCAGTATAACATGAATAGGACCTTAAAAATTTAAAAATATCTGCAAACTGTTTAATAAATAAGTGGAAGTGACTAAACTAGTAATTGTGACTCCTTGTGTAACGGTGATACTACGGATGGGGGAGGCATGTGAGTAGTATGTTTTCTTGTAAATTCGCTTTGCCTCCCTTGAAAAGAGAGATCTATCACGGAATTTGTGGAGTCGCTTTGTAGCATTTGCTTGGATTTGAACAACCGTCAGTGAATATACAGGAAAGTTCAGTAAGACGCGTTCAAAGAGAAGATGGGAACTCAGTTTTTGCAAACAAGTTGCATATGAGCGTTTTGCTTCCCTGTCCACTAGTCTGTAACGGTTCAGTTGGCATTTTCGAATAAATAACTCCGCAGCGAAGGCGTTCTTCCTTTCGCTTGTACTAAACGTATATCCGCCTACTTACCGTTGGCTACGTAACGCAGCCCCTTTGGGGGAATATGCTAAGTAGCCCAAGGGAAAATAAAAGTGAAGATTCACTGAAATTCGACGGCGTATTCCTCTAAGCGGGAGACCTTAATTCCGTTTTCTCCCAGCATATCAGAGTTTCCAGCATTCCAATGAGAAGCGAACTTGTACCTTACAGCCAATACAAGGTGAATATGTGTCCTGAAAATCGATTTTTTGGCTTGGCACAATTCCCAGCATGATTCGCTATTGCCCGGATATTTCTCGCTATTAGTCCGGTCGACTTCACTTTGGCATAGCGGAGCAGTTGGTTTCAATGCGTGTATCTCAAATTTTAGACCGAAACTTGACAAGCTGTTGGTCCTTTTATACCGAACAACGAGTCAGTTCTTGCAATGGTGAACTCGGGGAAGTGAGAGGAATCCACGAGCTAAAAACTTTGGCCCTTTGCACCCCCAACCGGTCCCATATTTGAATTTTCTTGCCATCATTAGGCTGAAAACGTGAATGAAATTACAACAGGTAGAACTACGACTCTCGTTGGACTCGCTGGCAGATGGATGGGTTTTATTAACACCAATTCTTTCGGCCATTGCTCTTGCATGAACAGACTTTGGAGGCAGTGCTTCGTTGCCAAGCCTATGGTAACACAATCCTTGCGATTCGCGGTTATGGCACAGCTCGAGTTAGACCGTGGTGATTGCCGTCTTTGCGAAGTGGCCGAACAAAAATGTGTGTATGTGTGGTATTCTGCGCACAGTATGTACAGTAAAATCGTGTGACTTTTGTCTTTTGTCCATTTTAAATGGTGTGTGGGTGACTAGGTTTGTCAAATCAGACTTCAAAACCACGTTCTTAAGCTCGTGATAAGCGCATGGCAACTTTATGGTTTCTGGGCATAACGGACCGGAAGTGGTCTCACCTAGCCTTTGAAACCTCTATGTTTTTATGCAGCTGTTCAAATGGAAAAGAGGTAGCATTTTTGTCCCACACGCAGCTGATTCATCATTCAATATAACCTTAGATTATGGGTCGAAATTTCACTGGCACCGACAGTTCCAAGCAAGTGTACACGTGACTGCAGGCTGCACTATGCTCGCATTTCATGGTGAGAATTACGGTTAGCCTTTAAAAAAAACTGGCCGAATTCATAAACTTCTGGTGGTGAATTCGAAGCCGTTCTATTCTGTGAATTTTCCCTGACGTTCTTACAATTCTGTCGGAATTGATAGAAAACTTTCGTCAAAAAGATTTTGCATATGTGCTGCCCTCACCAAGACCGGTACAAAAAACTCAACTTTTAATGAATTTCTCAGACGTATATTTAAAGGAATGTAAAATTCATACAGAGCAATGTCAATATATCTTTTGTCGCTTCACATGTGATATCGTCAATCAATTATTAGAATATTTTGCGGTCATTTGTACCAGGATGTCAAATTTTACGATTATTTTGATGCTGGGGCTTGGATGATCGTGCAACATACAAAATACGACATTCTTCTTATGTATGGAAGAACAACACCCGTTTGACCAAGACATAAAAGACCAAAGAATGCAGAGGAATTTTTTATATACGGATAGGTTTTTATGCTCAAGTAAAAGGTTATTCTACAAATACAACGATCTTTAGACCGCCCATTCGAAGCAGATTCAGTGGCGTACCATCAGTGATCTCCACAAAGTCATGCTTCTGGTGTTTTGTTGAGCTATCGTCCCCTTTGTCATCGTCCATTTTTGTAGCCAGTGTGAATACAGACCTTGCCTATAGATTACACTCAGCGCAGCTGTAATTTGTTTTTGTTCAGGCGTCGAAGACGGCCCCATCACCGGGGACTCGAGTTTCTCTCCTAGCCACTGGATGTGTTTTGTGGCAGTTAGCCTATGGATGGAGCTTACTTACGCCGCGAGAACTCATAGGGGTGTCGGCTCATTGGCAACGTAAGCTGTTGCTGCGGGATGAACATAAAATCACTGCAACCGATGGACTAATGCTAAATCTCCTACATTTCTGGCGCGTTATGCGGCCGAGATTTCTATGGAAGCCTAGCCGTTGGACACGGGCAAAGGTCTGTTTCAAAAGCCTCTACTCCGTACTTCGTACATAAGTATTCCTATACTTATATGAAGGTTAACTACTTGCCTGCCAGAGTTTGGTTAAAAAACCAACTGTTTTCTATTTCAAAGGAAGACTGTCGTCTACTTCGAAGCTAGATGACTATGATCGTGACAGCCCGAAAGAGGTTAATATGTGCCATCCAAAAGTGTACGAGTATACTGAGTTGTGATATCTTGCCGTCAGCTGACTGTGGGTTCACCGTATTGATACTGTTTTTCTCGTTACTCGGTTAAGCCTGCATATCCCAAAACATAAGGGCGAAGATTTTAGGAGGTTTTACAAACATGCCAGTTCGAAAGTGAAAGTTAACAGATACTTTGTTACCAGTCGTATGGTTTCAGAATTACCGAGAGTGATCAAAGTTACCTCATCAAATCAATTATCTTTATCGTTCAGAAAGTGCTGCTAATTTGTTGGGACGAATCTACAGTAGGATGAGTACAATTGACTACCCTGTTCGATCCGGTGATGTGACCAAATGTGGCAGCTACATATATGTAATTCACGCGGCAATGTTTCGAAGGGAAAGTACACCATTCTGGCACGGTCATAGACCAGTTGACTTTAACCTCAGGTCATACCAACTTGGAATTGGTCAACTTTGTCTAGTAAAGCAGGGTGATGATAATGGAAGTGGTAGATTTTGTGTGCATTTTTGGTCATCCAACTTAATCACTCGGTCAGCTTACAGCTGAGAAATATCTAACGGATTCCTAGATTTGTGGCATGAGGATGCGGGTTTCTCAAAGAACGTGATCTTTGGTGTCGAATCGTAGTTTTCTGCATCTCATCTTAAAAGCACTCAACCGTCTAACGTTCCCATTTTGCTGCCGGATGAATTAACGTGGCTGGTTGGCCAATTTGAAACGGCGCCTGATCGATTCTAGTTCAAGGTTACTGAAGTCGTTATTCGTGGAATTAATAACACCATGGAACACGGGAAGGCCTTGCTGCGAGAAAGATTTTCTCTGCGTGGCCGAATGACTCCGCCAAAAGTGTTTACAAAGGTAGCTAATTCAGCTCGGAGTCGAGCAGCCGAGTTAATTCAAAATGTACGCACACATTTAGAGTCCCCTACGTATGTGCGTCGCAGCCGTATGCTAAACAGACGGGCAAAATCAGTTGATCGGAGTGATTTTAATGTTAGCAATGCGGATCCCAGCGTATGTGAGACATCCTCATTACAAACTACTTCAACCAGCTCATCTGCTAATTCAGGCTTCCTGGGATTCTCTTTGCCTACCACGCTGAATCCAGCCGATCCGTTGCCCGCACCTACTTGTCGTCTGGGGGCTTACCAGGCGGAATGGTTAGTAGACAACGAAGGGGCATGGAAACTAATCACTGAGGATGCCACAGCAGCACCTGTGGATCAAGCCACTTCTACTGGAGACAGTGTGCCGCAGCTTTTGCGTGTAAACAAAGCACTGAAAAAGGAGCAGAAGTTTTTAAAGGCCAAACTCTCTATTCTGCTTGACGAATTAGCCAAGCAAACCGCTGTGGTACATTATCATGAGAAAAAGTTGGACAAACTGAGAGAGGAGTTGAAGAAAAAATCCAAGGAGACCAATGAAACCATTCGGTCGGAAATGAGACGAGAACTTGAACAAAAGCTCGAGACGACCAGACTGGAACGCAACTTGAGGAGCACACTTCTGTCCACAGAGGATGAAGAGGAGTCTGCTAGTAATACAGCTGAAGACACAGCTGCCTCAGATTCTATCACAAACTCCAACAAGTCGGACCAAACAAAGGATGATGCACTGTGTTTAAGTTCACCATGTGAGAAACAAAAATCAGCCAAACGACTGGTAGACTGTCCTCCTAAGCAACGCAAAGTACCCGCTTCTAAGCTGAAAACTGCTGGAGACAACGACACCACTACAGAGATGGAGACGGAAACAGAGGAGACTTTCGAATCTAAACATCCGAAAACAGAGCCTCAGTTCCACAAAAAAGGAGCTAGAAATTTTGAGGAACTATCATCCAAACATCTTGAGGATAACGAAGAAAGCGATACACTGGAAGATGCTAGCAGTAACAGGAGCTTCAACGCTACCGAATCAAAGGCCAGCCCTACGACCTCCACTGTAGTGGCCAGTGATGAATCAGCTAATGAAGCTACCAAAAAGTCGGACACAACAAGTCCAGAGGACTCTGAAGAGGAACAGGAAGACGAGCAAAGTGAGGGGGACGACGAAGAAGAAGAAGACGAGGATCTCGATGATGAAGAGTTCGAGGATGAAGAAGTGGAAGAGGAACATGAGGAGTTGTCGAAGACTGATGAATCTCAGACTGAACATAACCCAAGTGCTCGGCGTCGAGTTGTACAATTTGGTACTGTATCGCGAAGATAAATATTTTATATCTGTCTCAGAAACCATACGATTAAACTTGTTCAGAGCGCCGAGGAATTCCATTGTGGTACATACCGGTCCAGTCGGGTTACGAAGACTTTTCCTCCATCCACCACACTGTCAGGTTTTTGATCTTAGTTAACTGGCCCAATACAGGCAGTTGTGTTAGGGATGGGCTGCGCTTGAAATCTTTGTTAAACTATCACTTTTGTGACTGTGTCCTCTGGATAATAAGTCCTCTATGACTTATACACATGTCTGGAACACTTTTGTCATTATAGCCCACTAGGTTGTTTTCAGTAGATGTGAGCAAGTAACATGAAGCTGGTCAGAACGTGGAAAATGATGATCCGGCAAAATGGTCTGAATAGTCCTGCGATATGTGTTTGTGGACTGTTTTAAGTTCACATCAGCGTTGGCGGCGACGTGGTTACAGTCTGATAAATAGTTCTTGTACTGCCTAGAATTTTGGGTCACTGGTGTTTGCTTCATATGAATTAGTTCATTAGAATAACTCAGAAATGCTTTAAGTTAGGAAAGGTATTTTCCCCTTGTTAATCCTCAAGTGAGCGTCAATGATAGCTGTCACGTGACCTCGATACCACGTTTCCGTCCCCTAGTCATTCACACGTGATCTGATCCATAAATTCGTTATTCGTAGCCCAACAGCACACCTGATTTTTTAAAAAGCTGCAGTCACTCGGCTGTTTACCAATACCAACTAGCCTAACGAGTTCACAAAAGTGCAAAAAGAAACACTGTTTGGGCGCTAAGATACCGGTATCCTGCCATCCTGCACCATATCATCAATGACATTGACCATAACACCAAAGTTGAAACCTTATCATTTACCGTTGACATTTTATGGAGAGAGTGTCGCTGACTAAAAAGCCTAACCTGTCAGTGTCATTTTCACTTCTGCATCAGACGTTTCCGTAAAACAGTAATTCCCTGACCTCGTGAATTGGTATCGCTTTGTACCAATGGACATGATAGGCCGACGGCAGAGCTCTGTAACTACACATTTTGAGGTGTTGTAAATAATTCATGTAAATCAGACAAACTCTCCAGTTGCTGAATTCTACGTATCTGATCAGTGATATGATCAGTACCACAACAAACAGACTGACTGCCCGAGGGTGAACCGAATAACCAGTTTTTCATCACACTATCTTACTCTGTGGACTTGTGGAGAGGCAGAAAGTGGACCTTCGTGTCACTGAAGTTCCTATTTAGATGTAAGATGTAGATGATGATAAAACAGCTTAATTTGGGTGCTTGCATTAACATACAATAGATGTAAGGGGAGAACTGCACTTATTTTCAAATTACGTTGGTGGTAATAGAGGAATCGACTGATTCTCATCTACTGTAATTCCTCAAATGAAAGTGTTCAACTAAAACAGTCTCCCGTTTTACGTGCATGACATCTGACATAAAGAACGAGATATTCACCAGACATTCGTTTGTGTTTCCCGCTAACAACAAATTGATTTCTGTTTCACCACTCACGTACAACTGGGTATTGAATTAGAAAATTAGGTTGATGGAAACTTGGAGACCAGGCCCGATGAGCGCCAAGAAGGATGAAAGTGGTGGGTTTTCAGTGAGTCCAAATGTAGTGTTATGCAGTAGGTGCCGCTGTTATGTTGCTTGACGCATACCGTCATTCTGGATAGGTTTTGAGATCCAATCATCTGTTGAAATGGATGGCATATGACTGGATGGTCTCGCTGAAAGGACATTCAAAAGTTTTCATTCTATTCTGATTTTTTAGTCATGGACTGAAACCGGTCGTATATTCAAAGTTTAGAGTTTGAAACACATCGTCCTTAGTTGATGTTCGGAGTTTTTAGATTCGTTTTGGAGCCTAAATCAGCCAGAATTTTGACTCACTGGGCTGAGCCTTGAATGAAACTTCAGGATATCTTATGAGGTAAGCAAGTGAATCTGTAAAACGAAAAAATACAAAAACAAGTTTTTTGGACAAAAAGAATATCTATCGTGGATTTTTAGATAAATTTTACGGGCGATAAAGCGTTCATCTCATTTGTTTCAAATAACATTAAATCTTCACAAGCTAATACACTTAAACATCAGGATTTCCTGAACGACCTATAAATCCTATTTATCGGATCCCGTAAGTTCACTGATTCGTCCACTCTACTCAAAGAACCCAATCGCAGTATTCGACAGGAATCTCTGACTTTTGAGCTGTGTTCTTTTTCATCTCGATAGATTTGACTTCTTTGTATCACTCATATATATATATATATATATATATATCAATCCAATGGAGGTTTTCAGCAGTCACGAACCATTCTGTTTTAGTCTGGAACGAATCAACCAGACAATCCTTTTCTCGACTCTAGTTGAATTAAATAGCCGTGTGACCACTTCGGAATGAAGAGTGAACAAAATCCAGTAACCTAGAAGGTTATGAAACTCACTAGCTTAATTATTGAATTTTCGGAGGCTCGTCCAGAAAATGAAAATTATAAGCTACACAGCATCCGTCTACAGAAAACCAGGTTGTGGAGAAAACCTGTACTGCAGAATGGTATTTCTCATTTGGTTATAGGTGGCTGCGGGATGTGTTGTTCACATACGTATCAACCAATTTCGAGCAGTCCTCTCCCTGTTCCGACACAATTATTCTCGTGAGTTCCTATGAAGAGCAAAGCACAGCACTCGAGTCATTCCCTACTAAAGCTCATCAGCACTGCACACCCCTGGCTGCGTTGGAGTTGTAACTCCGGGCATCTGATATGCGAGGCTAGTATGTTTCCACTCCTCCATTTGCGCATACCGGACGCACCCAGATCATTAGGTGTCACGGGCGAACCTGCTCATGCTTGAGCGACGTGATTGGTATGCCCGACTGCTCGAAAGACGACCTGACCCGGTTATGATGATCGACTGATCCGCCTGTCAGGACTCCTAGTTAGGTAGCGCCACACAGGCTTGGAACCCGTCGGACAATATCTGACTTTTGTTGTTTATTGAGTCCAATAGTTCATTCACATGACTACTTTACGACATAAACACCAGATGGGTGCCGTCTACATGTTATCTGTGACCTCAAGTTCACAGGTGGTTTACCTTAAGTTGGTAGGAACCCGAAAACTTCAAAACAAAATGTTTGAGGCTCACAAATATACGATGAAACCATCGTAACAGATCGTTTGCACCGACTCACCGGTCGCTAGATCAAAACCATGTTCGTCTTAACAAACAGGACCAAGTAACAATGTTTTTGTTCTAACAGTAGTTGCATTATCTTGAAATATATTTGGTTCTATACAGTATTCTATACAGTGTTATCAAAGCAGGAATGACTTCTCTACATTTCTGTTCGCATCGGCAGGCAAATTGTAATTATTGGCAATGCCCGTAGTCTTTAGAAAAACACCTCATGTTGGTATGCACATTTTCAACAAAGACCGAAATAACTTTTAGGTGAAAATATATAATAATTTGCTGGTCAAAGTCAATCAAAGTAATTGTTCATTTATGAATAATTTCCAAAAGTAAGGACTTCAAAAGCCTCGCTTCATAGGTGACTGTATTCTGACCGGGATGAACTTTCACCGAGTCCAATGGTTGTTCGATAAATGCCTTGACATCACGCCCGTAGACTGAAGGTGGAAACAAATGAAACGACTGGTAAATCTGATCAAAAACGGCCTTTCAGAGTCGACTTGCTTACATATAAAAACAGTGATTCAATAATATTCTCAAACAGGACTTTGGAACCATCTTAAAGTGCATCGAGAAACACTGTGTTAGGAAGATAATCCATTTCAGTCTGATGTGGGCCTTTGTAAATTACTTCAAGTGATGAGCTATACTAACTGCAGCCGATCACAATAAGGTGTTAAACCAGCGGTACGTGGTATGTTGAGTGTTGGCAATAGGACTTCTACCAACTTATACATGCAACCCTTATACCACCCCATCCTCGAAATCCTGTTATCCTACACCAGACTAAAATGATGCCTTTAGAGTGAAACCTCCGGTCACTCACTCCACACCAGCATACTTTGAGTTCTCTCATCACTGGTGCTAAACAGGGGCAACGCAAAACTTGGATTCCTTCTAAATTGCGGTCCAATCACCGGCACTCCAGAGTACGGAAATTGGATGTGTCCAGCCTAAGTGTATTGGTGCGAATTTTACTTTGTGGCCAGATACCTTGGCTTGGTCCACTGATCAACCCAGTTAATGGTCCGTTAGTGCCCTAAGTAAAGCTATCTCCCCAAGGCCCTCGTTACAAGATTCCGGTTTGCAGGTTATCTTTCGTAATTTACTGGTTCCGTTGATGGGACTTATCGATTGAGCTTTGGTCCCACAAGTTAGGTTAACCTGTACCGAAAAGCACTGTAAAGCCATTTCATCCTAATCGAAAATCTTTAGCGGCGCGCATATCAGGAACCCTCTACAAGTTGAAAACTAAGCCGTTCGGCCACGAGTGGCACGAATGGTCACGACCAGTAGTTTGACTAGCTCACACTTAGACAGGATATAGCGGCATTCATCTTCCACTCATGGGATTGTTATCTCGCGGCAGCTGCTTGACTGGCCGCTCGAATGATGGAAAGGGCTGCTTGTGAAACCGTAGTGCCTAGTTATTTTTTGTTGGATTCCAAAATTCATTCGGCAGAGAGAGAAAAAAAATAAAGAGTACCAAAGTACAGCTCCAGCCATTTATATACATTTATGTACGTTAGCACAGATGTCAAAAAATTGTGCGAGACTGACTGCAACTGACTAAATGACGTTCATTATACTTCGTTTTGGCCCACTTTGTGAGCTTGGTTAAGCGACAAAAAAACAGCAGACCGACAGTGTGCAGCGCACAAAATCTGGTATCGTTGTATTCTGTTTATTCACGCTACTCACTATTTATTATTACAAAGATCGTCCACAAATTCCTTGAAAATGTAGCAATAACTCGACAACAGTTAGTTGGTAACGGGGAACAGTGGTCTGGGCACCTCGGAAGTATTAAGGTGGCGTAAGGTTTCTTCTTTGTCTGTCTTTATTTTTTTCTTCGCAATAAGCACTCACTCGTTCAGCTGTAGCACCCTTTCGGTGCCTAACTGCCATTCTACTAGAAGGAGGTACGAGGGCTGGGATACTGTCAGCTTGCCCATGTTTAGAGAGGGGACGTAGAGAGGTCGAACCACGGACCTTCCGGTTACTAAATTCGTGCTCTTACCACTTGAGCCATCTTGCCCAATAAGGCCTCTAAATAAATCATATTTGTAGGGCAGCGAAGCACCATTGTTGAACACCGATGCCATGATGATGACGACGATGATCATGATGATGATAATCATGGTGATGAAACGAGAGATAGACATTTCAGAAGAGCTCCAAATTCTATCTAACAGTACCGAGACCAGATACCTACCGCATTCTATCCTTACTAGTACTCACAATCTGTTTTCTTGAACTAGAAACATCACCTTGTCTTGGTGGTCGAGGTTCAGTGGTGCATTGATTCTGTGGGCTAAATTGGCTGGAATTCTGTTTTTTGAGATTCAGTAATGCCAGGAGGGTTGGTAGAGAGCAATCGGACGAAGGACAAGAAATCGTGTAAAGGTGCGGTCTGAAGGTGAATTCGTACAATCATCTGCGATAAGAGTTTGAAGGCAGTAGGGTCTTCCTTCCGACTACCGGCAGGTCCTTATTCATGGAAGCCACAATACCGCCTTCCCTCGACAGGTTGAGAAAGATCGGCCTTGAAACTGCACACACTAACCGCCTAATGGCTGACTGTGACCGCCGGCGAATCACTCAGGACGGTCGAAAAATAACTGACGTCACCAAGAGCCAAATACTGTCTTCGGCCAAGGCCGGCCATTGAAGCCAAGTCAGTCAAGTAACTAAACCATCGGCTCCTGGAACGGTCACTCCAGAAAAATCGAACTCCGTCTAATTCGTGGTTTGAACAGAATTTATGTCCTCTCACTGCCTAATGGTTCAGAATTTTGAACGAACTTCTCAACTCTCGGTACCTCAACCAAATCCCCTTCTTCGGCCTTAGCAACCGGAAAGTATCTTTCGCCTTTCCAACCCGTCATTCAATGACTCTTCCCCAAACGATCAATCACTCAGCCCTTATTTCGTACCTAAACTTCAGCTCAGTGAAATAAATCAAAATACACCTTTATTTACCTTAAAATATCTGTTGCTTGTTACTGCTCTCAACGTCCTCAATAAAGGAAGCTGCAACAGCTGGGATCACCATACTTCGGCATACAGTTTGTAGCTGACAAACTGACTGACTAACTGAATGAGTGGATGCATGTGAGGACGAAATTTTGGCCACACGTTACAAGCAATTCCAGCAGTGTTTCAGTGCCCAGAAGTCAACGGTTGCTCTTCAGGTGACCCAGTCATCCTGCGTTGTAGAGACACGGTGACACGAATGTGCGTGAGACTTTATTGGTCACTGAATTTTGATAGCAAGGATGGTGAGTTTACCGTATTGGTCTTGCCATATGGTAGTTATAAACTCGGGTATTTCTGGGCCAAAACCACAAGAAAAGTACTCTACTTGGAACGTCTCTAAGGATTCATTTGATCGATTTTCCTCTGATGTTCGGTGTAACAGAAGTAGATAGCAAGATTGTCTTTCTGTTACGTCACAATACTGATCCCACATTTCAGTCGCGTAAGAGAGACAGTTTTACTACTTAGATGCGCTAAGAACGGGGTGGGCTTATTTCTGGTCGGGTACGATTGGAACTGGGAATTTTTTCTTATCAGCTGGACTAATAAGTAACAGATACCTTGCCGGTGGACAAGCATCTCGCAAATATATTCACAATGTCTACCTTTGTTTTCATTTAATTCATTGTCATTGGACAGACTTTCTAGAATAAGAATAATAGTCAATCAGTCAGAGCCACTTTTGGCAAGGAGGGAGACATTTGACATTTTATGCCTCTTCAAAAAACCTCCTACCCTTGGAATCGTTTCCAAAGAGGCAGAATACTGTGTTTCGGCCGCACAATCATCGACATCAGTCTTGAAAACTATGCTTCGCCGCCGTGCAACCATGATTTACTTGAAAGTCCTATTTTGAAGAATAAAAGTGGACGGGGTAGGGACTTAGCGCTAGTCTACCAAAATCATTCCGGGGTGCCTGACCTCCAGACAAAGTCCTATTTTGAAGAATAAAAGTGGACGGGGTAGGGACTTAGCGCTAGTCTACCAAAATCATTCCGGGGTGCCTGCACCTCCAGACACTCATTCAAGCAATCTGGATAGAAACTGAATTTCATGACGCGTAAAATGTCCCTTCAAATACAGACCTTACTGATTGAAGTGGCTTTTATATTTGGACAGCTGCTTAGTCGGTATTCCTGTTGTGGACAACAGTGGGTCCTTGTGAACGTTCGAATCATGAACAGGAAGGCACTGAGGGTTTTTGCCCTATCCAACAGAGCTTGGTAAACAACATCAGACGACTAAGGAAACTATCATTAGTGAATGGTTGGATTCCGAATAGATTCAACTAAAGTAATGATTGTGATGATTATATAAAACAAAAACTTAAACAATCAATAATCTTACGTTCACAATGTTCCAGAAATTGGATACAGTCTAAGAGGACTGCATCTCTGACCAGAATCATATGCTTGGCCAAATTCTCAATCAATGACAGGAAACAACGTTTTGCGTAGTACCTGTAAATGAATGGCATTATGTGAAAAAGTAGTTGCCTGTAGTAGACTGAGGACGCAAGAGGTACTCGGTTTCAACATTAAAGGGTCAAGCTAGAATCTCTGTTGCCACTCACAAACCCAAGGAAAGACCGTGTCTTTCCACTCATGCTGGATAGGTCTCATAATTGTCTGTTCCAAATCTCACCACAACTTCCCGAGTCACTAGAGCCACCAAACTGTCTTTTTAAAGTGCCTGAAGATTAAGAGCAACAGCTTATTAGGTGTCTTCATCCTTCAAGCGAAAGACGGCCACAGGTCCTCGATCAACTATGCTTTTCCCAGTCTTTTCATGTTAATGGTCAAAGTCCTTGTTCAGGTGACTTATTCTCTGTTTTGATGCTGCTCTCAAACTGACTTTGATTAAAACTATTTTTATTAGGCGGCATAAGCGGCATACCACGGAACCAGATCACCATAGTCTGCTGTATGAAGAGGTGGACAGTTGAATTTTGGACAGTAAAGGTGGTGCCATCCGGGGAAATCTTGGAAGAGGTAGTCAATTTTATCCCAAAATGTTTATTCCCGCTTCATTATGCTGTTGAGTCCGTCAGCAGCTTCCAAGTGTGACAGAGCTACGAACCGAAAATATCTTATTATCGACAGGGTCTTCCATGCAAATAAATAGCAAATAACGACTAAAACATAGCGAAATAAACCCCTAAGCAACTAACTCAATGAAGATGGAAGGGGCGCAAAACACGCACCCAAACTTAATTCCACTCATTTCACTCATTTCACTTCGCTACAGTGATAATATTGCGCCAACGCACTGTCGTTGGTCTTGCCTCTAATGTTCTGTTCCCCCGACCTAAAGCTGCCACCTTGACGTGGTGGTCGGGCTTCAGTGCTGCAATGATCTCGCGGGCTACACTGGCTGGAACTTCGTTCCACAAGGTGCAACTATGCCAGGAAGGCCAAAGGGGAGCAGCCAGACCAAGAGCAGCGAGACCCCGTACTACGAGTAATCGTGGTACGAGGCGGTCTGGGGGTAAAGCTGTACTGTCCTCTGCGACAGGAGTGTGAAGGCAATAAGGTGTTTCCCCCAGGCGACCAGCATGTCCATATTTATGGAAACAGGGATGCTGCCTTCCCCAGAGGAAGGACGGGTTAGAAAAGGTCGGCCCCAAAAACCGCACACTCCGATCGCCCAACGGTTGACCGTGACCGCCGGCGCATTATCCAATACGGTCGAAATACTTTTAAAGCCAAAGAGCCCGGTGCTGCTCAAAAGGCACCTACTGTGCGCAGCCGCATCAGG